GGGCAGGGGGAGGGGCAGAGGCAGGGCCCAGGCCAAAGCTCTGGAAAGAGGCTGAAGGGAGGGATGAGCAGTGAGCTTTAGGAGGGTAGGTGACAGGGAAGGGGGCTAGGTTCTGGGGGCAGCTGAGAGCAGGGCCTGGTTTCTGGGAGAGGCAAAGGCAGGCCAGGCTGGCAGTAGGGCAGGGTCCTGGGCTGTAGAGAGGGCACGGCAAGGCCTGGGTTAGAGAGACAGTCAGGGTGGGCCTGGGCCCTAGAGGGACGGGCTGGGCGAGCCTGAACTCTGGGACGCGGGAGGCGCTCGCACCCTTGCAGTGAAGCCCATACCAGGCCCGCGGCTCGCTTGGGGACTCGGGCTGCAGGGTCCTTGACGAGGCCCGCGAAGGATATATGTGGAGCAGTTTTGCCGCCAGCTGAGATGAAGGGATGTACCAGGGGTGCATCATGAGGAACATGCGCACCAGCTGCGGGTCCCGCACCTTCCCGGAGTCATCTAACTCCGAGGGGGCAAAGGGAAGTGGGCTGTAGTCTCTCAACCCTACCCCTCAGCGGGTCGGTACCTGCCCCGCCCCGTCTCCCGCTTTCCCCAGGATTCGGAAACCAGGAGGCAGGTTACAAAGAGGAGGGAGCGTGGGAGCGAGAGAAGTCGGGATCCGAGGACCTGGAGGAGGGGAGCGCGAGTCGGGCCGGTCCTCGGAGGGGAACCAGCTGGGGCGGAAGGAGCCTGGGTTCCCCAGGGTCGGGAATGCAGAGGTCATTTCCTGAGGGCTTGGGGGAAGGGGCACCCCTTCGCCAGATAAGCTGCCCCACATCAGCCGGAAACAGCTCCCAGGGCGGAGATAGAGAGTTCCTCCGGATTCCCGGGGGGAGGAGGGGGACACGTAATGCTCCCCGTGTGTCAAGAGTCCGGGGACCCCCGTCCCTGCCTTCAGCGCAGACATAGCAGGGACGGGAAGCATTTTATCTTTCTGAAGCACGCGGGCCTCTGCGCGGTGCAGAGGAGGGTCTCGTTAGGGAGGATGCGGAGCTGAGCGGGTCAGTTCCCGCGGGGCTCCCGCGCCACTCACCGAAGGCTTCGATGCAGCCGCGGAGCAGCTCCTCCACCGTGCAGCCCTTGTCCAGGTCCAGGGCGC